TGTGGGCGCCATATAACTCGGCACCGAAAATGGAGGACAGCTCGTGAGGCTATCATCGTCTTTTAACGGGAAGTCATTGTAAGGCGAAGAATAACTAATTACGGTTCTCGGTTTCGAGTATGGATTGGTAAAACCCGAGGCTTTTGCTGGCGAAGGAGTCTTGATCGGCGTTGTCTGAAAATGTTTGGTTTTATTATGTAGTGGGCTTGGATTATGGTCGGGGATTGGCTTTGGAGGGGTAAAAGCGACTTTTTTCGTGGAGGCTCGGTTTTGAGGAGTGTTTGTTGGAGGAAGTTCGCGCTCTAACCAGCTCCACCACCAAGGGAGTCCATTATTGGGTTGATTTTCGAGAGGATCTTGTGTTGATTTTGGGTTGCTGCTTTTCCACAACTGTTGCCGAAGAAGAAATAACGGTTAATTGAGCATATAGTTAAAAGTCGAGACAAATACAAAAACGTGCATTATATGTTCGAGACATAAATAGAATTACTCATGATAGGAAAATGATGAACTTAATTTCACAAACTAGGACACAAGGCATAAATGTTTTGCAGTGACTTCATGAGAGAGCTTAATGTAATAGTTGAAGGTAGTTTTACGGTAAAGTTAAAGTCGGTTTTAAGGATAAATTAGTACTTAACACTTAGGATTCAATTTGTATGAAAGAAGATGGAAGAGGGTACACTTTACCTGGTGAGAGTATGCATAAGCCATGGCTCTCTCCCTTTTCATGACTGCCTCTAATTTTTGCCGTAATCTTGATTCGATTTCCTCTTTTGTTAGCATGCTATCATCCCAATCTTCACTATTTTCAGCACCACGCTAAAAAAAAAATACGTAGAATGAGAAGATAAATAAAAAAGAAGAAAGAAAATCCGCCACCGGAAAGAATTAATATATGAAATTAAAGAAAGCATTCATTTTGTAAGTAAGCATGAACAATTACCGAAAACTCAAACGGAACTATCATTTTGTCAGTAAGCATGAACAATTTTCCTTAAAATGAAAAAGAACATAAATTTAAATGACAGAGAAATAAATAAGAACTCACAAATTGATTGGCGGGCCATTTACTCGGATTACTTTCCGAATCTTTCTCCTTCGTACAATAGAGTGCATGGTTTTCTAACATTTGTATCCTCCGTGACTGAATTTGCGTTTGAACCCTAACCAATAACTGCATTTGCTTCATTGCATTAATCGTCTGACGCTTCACATTTTCACTTCTTACCATCCCTTGAAGCCTCACTAAACCCCTCAAAGCTCTGAAATTTCGTCTTGCCTGATACATTTTCGTGTAAGCTTTACAATCATAATGAAAGAATATGGCTACAAATGGATAACACACAATAGTATCAACAAAA